TTCTTGCCCACGGCAGCGTCACGCACGCGTTGCGCTTCGCATAGCGGGCAGCCAGCGCCCGCACCCAGGGTCCCCCTCACCGCCCCAACCCCGCGGCCGAGAGCACCGCGGGTGGCAGACCCAGCCCAGTCGCCCACAACAAATTCACTTTAAAACATCATTTTAAGAGCCTGACAAAGCACTAGAAACTACTTCCTCCCTAAACCTGGTTTCACTCGTGTCATCTCTGCACAGGTAAGGGATACAGCCTGCTAATTAGCCCACCATCTCCCAGAACGAGCACGGTGCCAGGCTGCCCTGGGCAGGCGATGCCGGTTGGGGAGAGCAGGGCACAGGGCATTTCCCCAGCACAACGGCAGCGCAGAGCCAGCTCCCACCGCTGCTGTCAGAAGTTGAGGGAAATAAATTGAGAAGGAAACTTAGCTACAGCACAAATTTACGTTTCTGTCAAAGAAGAGTGGCTGACAGATATTTTTGGAAACTGGTCTCCATCATGTTAATTCAACGTCTGGTTGAAGTTGTCTCATTTGCAACAAATCTGGCTGGTAAATATTAACCTTGGGCTTTGTTGAAATTCTCCTTGCAGATATTACAAGGGATTGGATGGAAAGGATGAAGCAGAAAGAGACAACTTTACAGCAAATGTCAGGCAGATCCTCCACATCACGGTTTCATTTACACAAAAGCTATTGCAACACACCACAAAGTAAACGGCATGAAGGGGCCACAGCTCTTGCCTGGTAAAGTTAAGGGTAAAAAGGCACCAGTGCTGAGAAGCCTACCAAACACAGCACAGCGATGGACAGGGACCATCCACAGGACTTCTCACTTGCCGGCCGTGCATCTGCTGTAAATGGGTTTTAAGATCAGGGTGAGCGCAGACCAGCATCTGGCTATAGCTATATATTAGACAAGAAAAGCAGTCTAAATGTATTTATAGTGACAGAACCTCTCCTCTTATTTGAGAATAGATGTTAAACAGATGCTAAAGCTGCTCGGTTCCACCCTAGAGATGGCTGCATCTCAACGATCCCTGAAATGATTCATCAGAAATGTGCAAACCCCTGGAAGCCCGTCAGGAGCACGGGGGCTCCTTCAGAGAAGTGGTGCGACACCAAGATGGACAGTACAAAGGCTCGGCTTTCTCGCAGCAGCAATTAGCAGTGCCGTAAACTCTATTGTCTTTTTCATCTCTCTCAATTTCACTGTCAGGGTACAAATGTTCCACCAGCAGCAGGATGACTTCAGCACTTAAATCACGGTTACGAGGATCACTGTGATCAGAGTGCCACCAGGTCAGCGGGAAGCGAAGCTCGCTCTGTCCGCAGCGAAGCCTGCGCCGCGCGGT